ACTATTCTTCTTCTGTGTTCCCAACTTCAAAAGCTTATAAATCATGAACTCCTGCACCTCTCCTATACACATGCCATAAATATGTATAGCAGAAAAGAGGATGGAGGCGAGGACTTCATTCCCCATCACCACAACTGTGCCATTCAATACAACATCTTCCAGATGTTGCTGGACTCCAACTTCCATCCGTCTCAGCCAACATGGCCAATGGTCAGGGATGAGACCAACAAAATCTGATAAGCCACCAGTTCCACATCTGGACTTAAGCTATGTATGGGGACATTTGCCTGAGCCTTAGTCAGTGCAATGCTCCTGACAAAATGGAGCAACATGGGCTTCAGCAATCGGCATTTGGCTTCGTCTCTTCCTGTAATGATGGACTAGTTATTGAACTAATCACAGAACTCTGAGAAATATGAAGACTGCCTTTTCCTCAGTCTACATATTAGAAAGGTAGAAGGTGCAAGGCCAGGATTTCGGACATGTTCATGCTTCTCCATTAAATTTGAAGCAGCGCAAGTGTCAGGCAGGCATTAGTCAGTGGCAGCACACAAGGCAACCACAACATTAGGTCAGTGGGGCTACAACTGGGAAACACAGGAAGCTATCTTATACTAAGCCAGACCCTCAAGCCATTCAGTTCTGTTAACAATGATTGGCAGTGGCTTTCCAGGGTTTGGGAGAAGGGGTTCCCCCCAGTCCTGCCCAGAGATGCTGATGACTGAAGCTGGACTAGCACTGGACTATTGAAAGCCCACAAAAACTTAATCTTGTTCTTGTCTTTGCTGTCCCCTTCCTACCCCCACTTCTGCAACAAAAGCTCATTTCTCAGCTCAGTTCATTCCTTTACCTTCTTTTACCTCACACATCTATTCAGGAATGATGCCGAAAGTTTGCCCCACTCCTTCTAATTGTTACCAGGTGTCAAAATGAAGGATGCCTCTCAATTGCCTTCACTCCAAGTGGGGCAAACACATGAAAACACGATGCTATTGTAATTGTAGCCTATGAAAGCCGTCAGGGCTAAGTGCTGCAGCCATTAAAGAGACAAGCAGAATGAGAAACGTACATAAAAGGAGAGAGAAAACCTGGAAATATCTCCATGTCACTAGGTAGGCCATTGGTGCAGCCCCATAATGAATGTCATGTGCAGGTCTCCTTAAAAATATGGGAGCGTTAAGAACAAAAAACAATCTTTTACTAAACTTTTTTAGGAAGGTGTTGTTGTTTTTTAAGAAGAAGGGGGGAAGTTTTAATTTTTCATCTAAAGCAAGGGAGCCAGTCAGAACCTTCTGCAAAATGGTGTGCCTAAGGCTATATCCACACCATACATTTAAAACAACATCATGCCACTTGATGCAGTCATGGTTTCCCTCCAAAGAATCCTGGGAACTGTGCTTTGTAAAGGGTGCTGAGAGTTGTGGTTCGAGGACCCGATCCCCGCGTATTGGAATGAAAACACAAGGACACGTGATATAATGTTAATGGGCAAGAAAAGGCCACAACTTTATTGATTACAGCAAGTGAAAAGGTATTGGCTTAGGCATTGGATTACGTCAGCTGACTCCACCCCCTCAGAGAGGGGTGAGTCTAAAACACGGGGGTTTATTCACCAGTAGGTGGAGCCTGTTGATGCTAATCCAACTATAAGCTCTCCCCTGATGTCACCGAGGGTCGTGCCATGGCCTCCCGCCACGCAGGCATCGGACAGAATACACGACTGCCAGATTCCTTTAACGGAATACCCAAAATTGAAGGCGCAGGCGATGGCCACACCTAGCCCTTCGACACACCACAACACATTATTCCAGTGCCTAACCTACCCACCAATACCATGAAAGTTGTGATGATTGCTACGAGGTAGGCAAAAAAACCAAAAAGCCTAATGCCAAATGGAAAAATTCCTACCAGGCTCCCCGAACAACCAGGGCGACCAACCTAAGGTCCATAGCAAGGCCAAAAGAAAACTGAGACCCTGAGCTCTAAGGGAGTGGAGGGTGGGTGACTCGCGACGGGACGACGAAAAGTGAGGCCGGAAGGCTGGTGCCGCAGCAATTTAGGCTGCTAAACACGCCCCCTTGCAGCCACCTGGTTGGGTGCCTGCCCGTGGGCGTGGGCGTCAGCCAGGTGAGTGGGAGGCAGGGGGCTAACGCCCCCTGCTTGAGGCGGAGTCCGGCTCCCGACCACGACCACTCCCCTCTCTTGCAGGAGGAGAGTCTTTGCCAAGAGACCCCCTGTTCCCCTACAAATCCCACAGCAGTTTAACGATCAATCCCTCTTCCCAGGGAACTCTCGGAATTGCAGTTCTGTGAGGACATGAGGCATCTCCTAACTATTCTCAGCACCCTTCATAAACTGCAGTCCCCAAGATTGTCTGAGGGGAGCCATGATTGTCAAGGTGGTATAAGAGTTCTTCAAATGTATGGGGCAGATCCACTGTGTAATAATAATAATTTATTGTTTCCCCAGCCACTCTGGGCAGCTCCCAACAGAATATTAATATTAAGAATAAAGCGATAAAATGTCAAACATTAAAAGCTTCCCTAAACAGGGCTGACTTCCCTAAACTTCACTCAATCCAGTCACTGTAAACCTGGGGTAAGGGACCTATGGCCCTCCAGAAGTCATTCAACTCCAGCTCCTACTGTAGTATCATGGAGCTGGAAGGTGCCGTGAGGATCATCTACTCCCTGCAATGCAGGGCTACGCAGCTGTCCCTTACAGGGATTGAACCTCCAACCTTGGCATTATCAGCACCACACAAACCAATGGAACTATCAGTCCCAGGCGACATGACAGATGGTTGCAGATGATGGGGCTTGTAGTCCAGCAACATCCAGAAGGCCTCAAGGTCCCCACTCTTGGTGTACCATAGATTCCATTTAGATTGTATTTAACAACGTTGTTTCACAATTCCTATGATACCCTTCGAGACACTGCAGGAAAGGAAGTGATTATTCTGGAGACATTCTGGGACCCTTCACAGATGCTGTACAAAGAGCAATGGAAGTCTCATTTATGCACTGGGAGAATATAGATAGGCTGTTAGTAATATCTCCAGATCTCTCCCTGCCTGACCATATGGAAGCCTGGTCTCTGGATTATTACGTATAGGAAATAACTATGAAAAACTAGCTGAAGAACACTGTGGTGTTATGTGCTCTCAGTCCCTCCAATCCAAGCCTATTCTTTATGGAGTTTTCATTCTCCAGGGGATGTGGTAACTAGTGGATTAGCCCTGATTTACAGCATTACTCTGCATGTTCCCAGCTCTGCATGTTTATTTCAATACCTTTTTTGGTTATTAAATGCCCATTATGCACCGTAATCCTTATAAAGAGAGGCCTCTTTAGAAGTACGGTGCATATACAACATCTTTGCAAAACAGTAAGTGGATTCATGGGAATGGGCCACTAAAAATAAATTACCTCGTTTTTCCTTTTGGTTGAAGCAGCCTATCTACAATGTGCTTGAAGGCAGCGGAGCTCTGATTTACAATTGGGTTTCCCAGAGATCAAATAAAAGTCAAATGGGGAATGATGGAAATTTCTCAAGGGAGAAACCAAGTCTAGGTAATCGGCTTTCACACTTCCCTTTCCAAAGAGGCCAGGAGAAGTCATGCTCACTGACGCCTGGTTGAAATGCCTGAAAAGCTCAGCAAGGCTGTTCCTTCCCACCACCCCGTTTTTATAAAATAAGGATACAAATACTTCCTTCCTTCTGCATGGCTTCATTACATGCTTTCCATTTTGCAAATACAGTGGTACCTCAGGTTACAGACGCTTCAGGTTACAGACTCTGCTAAGCCAGAAATAGTGCTTCAGGTTAAGAACTTTGCTTCAGGTTGAGAACAGAAATCGCTTGGCGGCAGCAGGAGGCCCCATTAGCTAAAGTGGTGCTTCAGGTTAAGAACAGTTTCAGGTTAATAACGGACCTCCAGAACAAATTAAGTACGTAACCAGAGGTACCACTGTATATCAGCCAAACAGACTACAGGGAAGCCCAAGCATTTCCATTATCTGTTCAATGGGAGAGTTGTTCCAAAGGGCTACACCAGGCAGGGGCAACCCTTTTTCTGTTGGAGGCCAGGATTTCTCAGGGCAGGGGGTTTCTGTCAGGAGCTGAAGTCAATGGTGGGCTGGTATGTACATTTGCACCCTCTCTCTCTCTATATATATCCACCACCCTTCCCTTCCCCCCCCCTCTGTCATTCTGATACTTCATTTTCAGCTCAATGGACCAATATCTTTATCTCCACAAACCCCACAGGCCAAGTTAGACAGGTGGGTGGGGGCTGCCCAACTGTCAATCATTTGGTGTCATAATGACTTCAGGGGATCACCTCTGAAGTGAGGGACACAACTTTATCTGCCTCCCACTTGATGTCACTTATGACTGGTTCCCACAAACCAGGGGTGTTGTTTGTGGGAATTGTCCTTGCTGGCAAAATTAGGACCCCTGAAGTACCTAGTTAGCCCCCCTTTCCCCAACTTCCCCATATGTACAATTTCCTGATTTCACACACGGCAAAAAAATATATACATTTTGGTTACACAAACAACAAATGACAAATACTGGGGTCCTATGGGATCCCTGGTGGGTGACTAGTGGTCCCAGAGAGTGACTGGGGGCACGCATGCTTGTGCTGATCTCCTCAGCGAGTGGGTGGAATGTGTATTTACGTATTCACATTGTGGATGAGTATTACATTGGGTGACATGCTTCCAGATGTGAAGGGTCATGCAAATGTGCATCAGTATCTGGTCTGAATGTGTAGGTCCTGGTCCAGCGAGAGATCTTCAATTGAGAAGGATGGGGCAAATGCTGGCAGGCTTTAGTCAGAAGCATCCTGTTGAATTTTAATGAACCTCATTCACATAGTGCAGGCTGAGGAACATAGAAATCTGCCTTATACTCTCAAAGCATTGGGTCCCTCTAGCTCAATATTGTCTTCACTGACTGGCAGCAGCTCTCCAATGAGCTTCTTTCCAAGTCCTACCTGGAGATGCTGGGGATTGAACCTGGGACCTTCTGCCTGCAAAGCAGATGTGCTACCACTGAGCTATGACCCTTCCCCACTTGCCCAATAAGCCAATGCCATTATAATGTGGCATTACTGATGTTACACATTATGGGCGCAATCCAGCCCTTTTAATTTACATTGAGTTCAGGGGCAGAGAGCTGAACACCCACTTCACTCTGCTAGTAACATCTGTGATTTTCTTTCTAAATAACATTTCTTAACTTTGCTTGGATCACGTTCTAAACTTATAAGCAGATGGAATCTGATTTAGGTAATAGCATTACTATGATTTCGTTATATTTGAAGTGCAACAATATTCTTACAACACAAATGAAAAAATATGGGAGGGATGGGGTGGAGTGGGGAAATAAAGAATATTTGAACCAGATGTGGAAGAAGGTATTATTTTTCTAACAAACAACTGTACATTTAGGGAAATGTCCTACTGTGGAGCTGCACTGAATCAAATAACTTGCAAAAGGAGATCTACACCGAAGAATTAATTAAATATCATCTTGTGGGAATTAAAACATTTAAGGGCATTGTTTTGTGTCATTGAGCCAAATTCCCTTAATCATGCCTAAAATATGCACAGGTTTCCTCCCCCCCCCATATTCAGTCTGCTAGTGGGTCTTTCAAAACTTGTAAATTACTAAGTATAAAATGTATGGTAAATAAGGAAAGTAAGATTAAGTTGAATGGGACTTACTTCCAAGAAACTAGATATAGGCTTGTAGCCTTGCAGAACAAACCTACATCTGTGTACCCAGAAGTAACTTTCATTGGGGCTTAGTCCCAGGAAAGTAGACGGAACTGCAACTTGTACTGCAATGTGTCTACTCATATGCAAGAAAGACACCTGAAAATATCTTTTAGCAGAGAAATGCACTGAAAAAGCACTCAGAAATGTGTATTTTATAGGAAGAATGCATTCAAAACTTATACATGTGGGTTTTTTCAGGTGTTCTTTAAGAATGCCAGCAAAAAAACCAAGATGGAATGGATCTGTGGTTGAAAAGCAGTGAAACTGACATGGAACAGATGTACACTGGTCCATCCAATCTTAATGTCCAATGAAGTCATCATGCTGCCTTCTGTCTGGGGTGTGGCTGAGCAAGGGTCACAGTGATGAGAGATATTACTCCCTTTCTTCAAAGGCCTACACCATTTAGGAAACTGTTTTATTTGAGGTTTTTCTATAGAATCCAAGTGGTTTCCAGAACATTACTCTAGCATGACAGCTGTCAAACTCTTGCTACTTGTTTTTTTTAAAAAAATGTTCTCATTCATTTTAGAGAGAAACCAAAGGAGACATAAGATTTTGCTAAGTGATAACTGCCTAAGCCTCCAGTTGCTTGCTTAAATCATCAAGCCAACATTGGAAAGGAAGCTGATTTTTGTACCTAACACCACAGAAACTAGCACTGATACGCCCCAGGAGCCTCACCAAAAAGCTGGAGAAGCTGCACCTCCACAGGCACATGCTTCCACATGTGGTGGGAATGCCCCCAAATCCAACTCTTCTAGTCATACAAGAAATATGCAAAATAACTAAGCAAGTATTAGAAGTCACCCCAGAACTAGCCTTACTGAACATCTTCCAAGATAATAATGCCCACTCACATTATAAAGAACTCATAACCCACCTACTCTCAGCAGCCAGAAGCATCATAGCCAGAAACTGGAGAGACCTGTCAGGAGTAAGCATGGACCAATGGTATCAAATAGTATGGGAAACAGCCTTACTAGAAAAACTAACCAATAAACTGAAACTGACATGGGGACAAATAGAAGAAGCCACCCCCAACCTATCTCACCACCAAGGAATTACAAAAAGTGAATAGTAAGAGAACCCATACAAGTGACGCTGACACAAAACCCCAGACATACACTAAGTAGAAGAATAGAAGAATAACCACCCGATCCCACCCTACTCACCATTCCCCACTTTCCCTTTCCCCCTCTTTTCTTCCTAACCTAATACTGCATGCAATGCTAATGTCTCACAACAAATGAAACTGTAGAAAACACAACTTGAAAAAAAGAGACAATGCATGTATTTTTGTAAACTAAGAAAACATATATATATATATATATATATATATATATATATATATATATTTATATTTATATTTAAAAAGCTGATTTTTAGACACTGGATATAAACCTGCAATGCTCTTGTTTCTATGATATGTTGTTCTCTGAACTGCTTCTATCAGTGTGTGTGGAGGTTCAGGAACTGTTTCTGAAAAGTGAGTCATTTTTCTTAATGAATTTGGGTTGGCTGCTCCTATTCTTTAAGGAGCCCACTTGTGCAATAAGATGGGATGTTCTTCTTATCCCCAACAGTGCTCTGATATAGGAGCAGAAGATGAGAATCTGACAAAAGAAGGTGAAGGGGGTTAGAGTATCATTTTGCAAATGTGGCCAATCAGAATTCCCGTGGAAGCAGGACTTGTTAGAGAGACAATGCTTCATTTTCTGGCAACGGTAGAAACTTTTGTCACAGAGAACAGCTGGATTCACCTCTGGGTCACGAGACACAACCCTTTAGACCTCCAGGTCACTATTTTCAAAAACAGGTCGGGTCAGCAGTGGCTTCTGTCCTGACACAGCTCTCCGGTGACCTCTTCAAAATAAGACAGCAATGGCATAATTTCAACACCGACTTCATCCAATGACAAACTGTCATTCTGTTGATAGACACTGGAGTCTGTGGTTAGGACTGCCCAGATGGAGGGACTTTGCTTTGTATACCAAAGGGATCCCAGGCACCTAGCTCCCCAAAAAGACAAATTTTCATAGGGAGGGTGCCATTGTTAAAAGATATTGTTAAGTTTAGGACTCCTATCATGGTTCTTTTAAAAGTAGTGAATAGGCCGCATAGCCATGCCATCAGCACAACCCCCACCCCTTGGTGTTCTGGTCATCGTTAAGCTCGGGCAGAGGCTTTCTGGAAACCTATACATTTCTTTGCTATTCCTTTGCCACCCAGAATCTCATAGAGCATTTCATGGCTGAGAAGGGATATGAATGTGGTTCTCCCCAGTCCAAGTTTGACACACAGTCACTACATAGGTTCTCCCTTCATGGGTCTCAGCTGGTGTGGAATCCTTGAATGCTCCCTCAGCTGCCAGGTGTGTTCAGCCATCCTGCCTCTATATGAGGAAAGTAATAAGCATCTTAAGCAGGCTAGGGAAGAAAATGGCTTTTGAATATGAGACAGAAAGGAAAGCAGAGGGAAGGAGAAGGTTTTGAAAAGTTGCAATGCTATTTAAATGGAAGAATTAACAAGGAGGCTGCTGAAGGTGGGAATCAGACTGATTTGGGGCTAGATAGTTTTTAAAAGGCGAGGCCGAGGAGGCAGATGGATGCAGGAGCAATGGTGATCAATTTACACCAAGATGCAATTTAAACTGAGGAACCAGGGACGTGGAACTGGCAGCCGCAGAATCAGATCAGTTTCAGAATAGATGGAATCTGAACTCATAAAGAGAGTGAGAGAAAGCACATTTTGAATAAAGGACTTGTGCTTTGTTTGCTTTTTGAGTTAGCAGTAATGATAGGTCCTCTTGTGGATTAGGGAAGGACTGTTTGGGTAACACATCCTTTAAATATTTGCAGAGGGATTAGGCTAGGAAGAAGGTGAAAGGCATTGATTCCAAGATGGTCTTGTCTGCTTAAGCAGCTCAGTCAAACATGTCACTATCTTGCAGTTTTATCCAGTGTCACTTCTTCACTACCAGACCATTTCTCCCAACCCAAGAGCCTCACAACCAAGCTCAAGTTCAGGGATCCTAAAAGCCATGCTCCTCTCCCAGGAGACTATTTTTTTCATTCAACTTCCCCACCTTCTCCCTGGTAAGCTTCATTAACGTGTGACCCCGAATTTCCAGATGCTCCCAAACTAAAGCCAAAGTTTTGTGCCAGTTTTGTGTTGTTTTGTGCTGCAAACCCCACATTTTGTGCTGTTCCCCCCAAAAAAACCAGATAATTGACAAAGCAAATCAGGGTCACAAATTGATGCCCAAAAATCCAACCTTGTTCAATTGACTCCAAACTGGTACCAAAGTGTTGTGCTGGTTTTGTGCTGCAAACCCCTCTTTCTGTGTTGCTTCCCAAATTGAGTAATTAATACTTATACCGGGGGCCATAGGGACATCCGTGAGTGTCAATTACTCACTTTGGGGGGGGGGGAGGTGGCACAAAATGTGGGGTTTGCAGCATAAAACTTGCACAAAAAGTTCAGGGTCACACATTAATGAAGCTCCCCAGTAGACTACCTAAGAACAAAAGTCTTGCTGGATCAAGCTAGTGGCCTATCTAGCCCAGTATCTTATTCTCTCATTGGCCAACGATTCCTGGAGGAAGCCTGAGAGCAGGACCTGAACACTAGAGCTCTCTCCCCAATCATGTTTCCTGTGCTGGGCCCATGAAACCGGTCCAGGACCGGTCCAGAATCCAAAGGTTCCACTGGGAGTCAGTCCCACAGGGCCAAGGCAGGACATGAGGCAGGAAACCAGGCAAGGACAGGTACAGGATCTCAGGCAGGATCTAGCATACAGCAATGTTGCTCCTGCAACCTGGGGTGAGGTCTGACAGTCTTTTATCTTTGTCTGGGTAGCGGCCGGTCCTGATCCCCCGACGACTCACCTCCCTGTTTCGCCCGAAGGTGAGCACTCCTCCTGCGAGTACTCAGGTCTCTCCTTCTCTCAGACCTTAGTCTCTGCAGCTCTGGAGACATCGGTGGGTTACTAGACCCAGGGGCTGCCTCAGTCTCCCCTGACCAAACTGGTAGTGGATTAGCTGTAAGTGGTTGCCCAGCTGAAGGCAACAAAGTAATCCCCACATCTGGAGCCAGGGCAGGCTCAGGCCCCTGACTCAGCCCAGCTGGTGTTTGTTGCAGGGGAACCTGTGCAGACTGGGATTCTTCAGGATCAGGCCCCAGATTTGGTTCAGATGATGCCTGAGGCAAAGGATCCGGTGCAGACTGAGTCTCCTCTGGTTCTGAGTCCAAGCCCGAGTCCCAGGCCATCACATTTCCCAG